TTGCTCTAGTAATTGATGTTTAACATTAATTATATTTTATTCAATTTTTTTACCACATCAAAATTTTTCTTAAAATCTTTATTTTTGAACAAATAAAATTAAAATAGTATTCTATGAAATATAATTGATCGATACTTTGCCTACATATTGAAGAGTTATTAATAATTATTATTTACATAGAATGTTATTTTATTATTTTTAGAAGGAATGTCATGGTAAATATTAAATGGAAAGACTACATTCGAATTTTGCTTTTATGTCAAAAACTTTGAGGATGTTCCTTTAATTTGAAGATTTTCTTAATATTCCTCTATAAAATATTTTTTTAACTAATTTTGTTTCTTACAAACAAAGGGAATTATAATTAAATTTCATATAGAAAACCATTTTTGTCCAAAATTATCAATAGCACATAATTAATTAGTACTGATTTTATGGGCATGGTAAGGATGCTAATCCTTCCCCACACGTAATCAACTCCTGAACCTGATCTTGTTTTTGCAAACCAAAATCATCTTTTTAATAAAGCTTTAAACCCATTTTATTGTTTTATTGAAAAGATATAATTTTTGAGTGGCCAATCACACCCTTAAAAAAGATTGTTGGTAAACTCTTTGTGTTTTTCACAATTTCTTTTAAACTTTTATGTCAACGAACAAGTCTCCGGACCGATACTTTACGACAATGACATACTAATCTTTATGTATATTTTACGAAATGCAACCAAGTATTACCTACAGCAAGACTAGTTCACACATTCTTTAGAAAGCTATTAACTAGTACACATCTTAGTGTATAATATCATCACTACAAGCATGTAATTGGATTGCACAATATAGAATCTTTACTTAAAATATTGATTGGCAAACCTCATAATAGAGGTAATTGATAGGTTCAATTTAATTCCTTTTCTAACACTTACAGATGAAAGGCATGACAGATTTACATATCAAATGTGTATATAATCGAAACTAACATGGTTTAATTATTAATGTGACATGACACTATAGTAGCAAAAAGACATTAAATAAAATTATTAAATTACACTATTTTACCATATAACTATAATTCTGACATCTGCAGGTTCCACAGATTTGACATGATGTAGACACTAATTTTGTCTAAGGTATTTTATTGTTTTAATCCAGGCTTGTATTAGTAATTGGATCAACTCTTCATTTTTCGAGCCTAACATATAGTTTATTTTTAAATACTTCGTATAAGGCTCAAAATGGCCCGATAAAAAGCCCAATCTTAAAAATAAAGTAATGGCAATAATAATAATAATAATAATAATAATAATAATAACAATAATAATAATAAGTATATAAATATATAAAATTTAAAATTAAATTTAAATTTTAAAATTTTAAAATTTTTAAAAAATTATTAATTAATAAATTAATAAATAATAGAAAAAGAAAAAGAAATAGGAAAAAATAAAATAAAAAAATAAACTTGGCCCAAAATTGGCTCAATCAAATTAGTGCCTACTATAACAACTATAACCAAATGAGAAGAGGCTGGAAATACATACATGTATAAAAGAAGGCCTTTTGGAACCGAAGGAGGGGCCCATTCAGTGTACAGTAGAAAGCCCTATGCATGCATGAAAGGAGGTGGCAAAGCAGGAAAACTGTTTCTTGCTACATGGACATGTATGTGCTGGAGAGGAAGAACTTGGAAGAAAAAAAAGGGTAAGCAGTTTCAAAAATACTTACATGTATGAGTTCTAGGCCCAGGTGATGTTGAGAATTGATAGTTGAAATGTTAAAGAGTAACTGCAAATAGAAAAAGCTCATAAAGAAGATAGCTTACAAGAATTTAAATAATAACAGAATATGATTATTGTATTGAAAGCGATAAAAGTTTACCACCAAGACTAGACATTAAGGGATACAGAAAACACCATCCTAAGAATCCTAATCAAGGATACAGAATAATAGAAGTTCACCACTTTAGGAAATCTACCTAAGAGATACAAAATTTGAAGAATAATTTAAAAGATTGCTTAAGGATAAAGAAAACTCTATTATGCCTTCTACCAAAGAATAATAGAAAATAAATAGGCTAGGAACATCCCTCAAAGCATGGAAACTTTCATATTGAATTGTTAGAATCATGCCTAAAATTAAGGGATTTGTATGTGAACCTATTTACTTTTATAGATTTCATACTAATGAATTTAACCATAATCTCATCCATCTTTATGCTCTTCTTTTTCTGTTAGTGTAAATACAATCTCCCTATTCTAGCCCATTTTATTTTTGTATTTATTTAGTGGATTTGGACCAAGGATATGCCTATCTTATTTTTTAATAAGTCCTCCTTAGTCTCAGCCTAATTTTTAAGATGTGTTGACACTCCGGTGTCTTGAAGGACCAACTTTAAAATCAAACAAAATGAAAAAGAGAAATGCTTTTTTTGGTAAATGAAAGAAAAAATATTGTATATCCCAGTGGTAACAAACTATTTTTTGTGAAAAAAACTTATACTTTATGATGAAGTTTGATCGAGTTGAAGGACAATCCAAAAAAAATGAAAAGCATAAATCTTTTATGGGCAAACGAAAACAACATTATCGTGTATCCCAATAAATCTATTGTGCTTGGTATTTTGTGAGAAGAATTTATACTTTGATGATGGATGATGCAGATAATTGATGGTTGAAATGTTGAAGATTAATTACAAATAGAAAAACTCACAAAAAAGATAACTCACAAGAACTTGAATAATGACAAAATATTGTTATTGGATTAAAATGATATACATTCACCATCAAGACTAGACAGTAAGGGATACAGAAACACCATCCTAAGAATTCTAATCAAATATATAAAACTATAAAAGTTCATCACTCTAAAAAATTTACCTAAGAGATACAAAATTTGAGAACAATCTAAAAGATTGTTCAAGGATAAAACAAACTCTATTTTGCCTTCTACAAAGAATAACAAAAAAAAAAAAAGTTTAGAAATATCCCTTCAAGTATAGGAGCTTCAAATATTGCCTTTTTTTTTTTGGATTGCTGAATTGATGGGATTGCTTTCAATCTCATCCTGCTGAAATGGTGCTTAAAATCATGAGATTGGTATGTGAACACAATAATATGTAGTGTGAACCCAACTAGCTATTCATTTACTATTGCAAATTACAACCTTACACATTGATAATATGCTTCATATTTGGTGTCTAGGTTCATCCATGAATCTATGAATCTCACCATAATCTCACCCATTTTCATACTTTTTTTTTTCTAGCTAGTGTGAATACAATTTCCCTCTATTCCAACACATCTTATTGCTACATTTATTTAGTGAATTTGCACCAAGGATAGACCCATTTTATTTTTGGATGTCCTTTTTAATTTCAGCCCAAATTATAAGATGTGTTGACACTCCGGTGTCAAACTTGGAAACCAAACAAAATAAATTAGAGAAAATGCCTTTTTTCGTAAACCAATCTTACCATCATCATTACCATTATTTTTAATCCTTACTATGTTAAATAGATTTTACCCATTTTGGGAAAAAAGTGCATAATTTCTTTAAAATGTAAGTATTTATACTTTTTCCATAATTTATGTCATTTTATCTTTTTTAATTTAAAGTATTTTTTAATTAAAATAAAGATGGAAAATCATTATATCTTTTATTCTCTTTCCTTTTATTATTTTTATAAACAAATAATTACAATAATTTTTTTCTTTTTTTTTTCACTTAGCTGTTTCATTTAAAAATTTTTAATTTTTAGAGAAATTTTCAAAAGCAACTATTAGGCGAAAAAATCACTATAAACTTTATGCACAAATTTCCACATCAAGCCATATATATTTATAGTTATGCTTCTAACTATAATATATATTTTTACATATTTGCCTCAATTGGAAGAATCTTTAAAAGATGAGATCTTGAATTGGTACTTATATAAGATGAGACTTTAAATTTTAAATTAATCTATAATTTAGATGTTAAAAGCTTGATTTAGCCTAGAACCAAAAAACAATACGATAAATTATAAAATAATAATTTGATTGGCAAAAAAGTCATAAAAGTTTTTAAATAAAAATTTAACAATCATTTAAGTTTTTGATATTTTATTATCACCAATTAAGCACTAAATTTTTTATTTTGAATTAGTTAAATTCTTAAATATTTATTTTTATTTAATTAAACTTTTAAATATTTATTTTTATTTAATTAAACCTTTTATTATAAAAAAGATTCAATTAATGAAAATAAATTTTTAAAAATATAATTAATTAAAGGAATATTAAAAACTTAAATAATTATTAAATTTTAATTCAAAATAACCTCGCGTAATCGTAAGCACATCCAAACACAAATACTCCCGAGTATAATAGAATCGAATCGAATTGATACAGTAAAAAATTTGAGTTCGAGTTCGTCTCATAATTTAAGGCTCGATATTTGGTTCGAACTCGATCAAATTTTATTTTTCAAGCTCGAGCTTGATTCGTGATCGAATTCGAGCTACTTGAGCTCACTCGATTAAGCTCGATTAATATGTAAAAATAAGCTCGATTCGTATACTCAACAAAAATTTGATTATTTATACTCGAACTCATACTCAAAATATTTTATTAATTAAAATAATAAAAATTTATTTAAATATAAAAGTTCGATTAGACTCGTGAGCTACTCGAATCAGATATAAGAATACTCAAATTCAGTTCGATCGATAAATCGAGTTACTTGAACTTGAATTCAACTCGATAATAATCGAATCAAATTCGAGTTTTCTTCGAATTAAATCCGAATAATTTACGAATACTAATATATTATTTATACTCCTATTTCCGACACCATTTTCATTTTTCATTAATGTCGTTTTTTGTTTTTTTAATTTACACCATCGATTCATTGAATCTTCACAAATTGATTAGTAGTATATTTTAAAATTTAAAATTTTATAATTAATTAATTTAAATTTTCTGAAAAAGAAAAAACAAAAGAAAGGAAAGAGAATAATGGATTGAATTCTCCACCAAATTTGTTCTTCTTGGGAAGATTTTAGCAAGCAAACAGTTACTTTCTCTTTCTCTCAACGGATTTTCCGAAGCTTTCTATCAAAATTACACTACAAAATAAAATCTCATATCCAAACAGAATCCAGAAACTGGATTGTCCTTTCTCTCTCTCCACTCCGCCTTTGAATTCAAAATCTCACTCTCACTTCTCAGTCATTCTGTTTCTTGAATACGTTTCTGTTTTGATCTTTATTTCTAGATTTAATATTCTTCTTTTTTTTTTTTACTATTTTGATTTGTGGGTTAAATATGCTTTTTTTTGGTGAGTCAGATAATTCAAAATGCAGGCCTCAACACATTTAATCAAAGGAAATTTAGGCTTTGAGTTTTCAAAACGAAGAGTTTTACCTTGTTTTGGTAAAGTTACGGAACTGAATTTAACTTTGGATTGTAATATTTGCTTCCGAAGTGGTTCCATTTGCAGCGGTTTAAACTCCGGTGCCGTTTCAATGGGAGCTGAGCCCGCACGAGCCAGAAATGGCATCGAAACTGTCGTTCGCTCTTCGGTCAAATCTCGATCGATCAAAGCCCAGGCTTCTGGTCTCTCTCTTTCTCTCTCTCTCGCTCTTTTTTTTTTTTTTTTTAATTTTAATCTGCGTTTTCGGTTGAATTTTTTTTAGTGAAATAATGTTAGATTTTTAAAGTGAGAAAAATTTCTTGATGAATGCATTGCATGTTTGATGACATCGCTTTTTCTCTGACTAATGATATTCATGTCTGATTGTGGGAGTAATAGATAATTTTGTTATTTGTTGAGATTTGTTATTTTCTGTTGTTTTGGGCTAGTGTTAGGCCAAGCTCAGTAGCTGGGATAATCCATATGGATATATCAATATATTGCAACTGTCTGTTACAAATAGGATGAACGTGAGGTATTGGGCACCCACGAAATGGAAGCAGACTCTGTTTTACTCTCTCCCTCTTAATTCTTTGGATTTTCTATCCTCTCCTCTATTCTCTACGTTCTCTTTTCTATTATTTCTTCCTTTCTATTTCCCATCTTATAGCACAAAACATTGCTCTTGTTAATCATCTGCATTTGTTTTAGTTATTAGACATATATTTCAAATTCTTTTATGTATAAAAAAACTTTGGAGGCATTGCGGGGAGCATCTTGCAAAGAAATGACTCATTTTGGTTTTGTTCGGTTGTGAATTGCAATACTTTCCTTTTTGCTTCTTGAAATTTCAATGGAAAGTAGAAGTAAATAATAAAAAGTAACATCTTGTATTTGATTAAACCTGAAATGTGACACGTTTAAAAGTTATTATTCCCTATAAAAGTAAATTCATGCATTTGGTGTTTAAAAGGTTAAATTTTTTACTTTTATTATATAGGAATATGACTTGATTTTGTTTCCAAGCATGCTTTTTGCTTCTAGTGCAAAATACAAGTTGCAAAAACAATAACTAAATTCTATTGATATATTCTATAGCACTATGGTGATGGTTTAGGGTATAACTAGTTACATACTTTATTCTTGCAGATGTGTTTAACTGATTTTGTTATCGTGTTAGTTTAATTTGGAAGTAACATTCTTTCCACTAAAATCTATTAACTTGCATGGTTTTGTCAGGATTGTTGGATGTATGCTTGTCATATTTTTTCTAACCTGCTTTCCTATATTGTTTTCAAATGGCAATTGGAATTATTCTGCAGGTGTAGACATTGAGGATTTGAAACTGATCAACCCTCAGGGAAAATCATCTGGGACAGTTCTGCCATTTGTCGGTGTTGCTTGCTTGGGAGCTATATTATTTGGTTACTCATCTAGGGTATATACCAATTCAACTCAGAAGGAATGTGCTCTTGTTTCTTGGTTCTAAACTTGTTAATTAGTGGTTTTAGAATCTCTATTATACCTTAGCCAATTAGAGCTGTAGAAACAGATAAGTATATTCTCCAGTAATACCAAAGCATCAGAGAGAATCAATATGGCTCATTTATGTGTCCCAAAAAAATACGATGCCTGCAACAAGGGATGTGGGTGAACATTTCCAGTATTTTGGGAATGGTCAAACACTGGATAAGATTCCCTCCATTGGTTATATTCTAGATAAAAAAAAAATTGTTGCAAAAATTTATGCAAAGAATCCATAATCAATATCTTGGCAGTTGGCGTGCTACATTTTGTTTATCATATGGCTTATTTGTTTGTTGCTTTATGCTTGGCTTTGATAATGCTACACTCTTCTAATTCCCCCCATCCTCCTTTTCTTTTTCTTTCTTTAGGGTGGTAAACAGTGCTCCTGAATATCTATCTAAGGATCTGGGGATTGCTGAAAATACTGTCTTGCAAGCATGTGTTGTGATCTTTAATTACTATGAAAATTCAGCCTCTTAATTTGTTTCTTTTTCCTTTCCTTTCCTTTTCCTTTGATTTTTTGTTTGTTTCTAAAATCTTTTACATGTGTATTTTGGTCTTTGATAAACCAAATTCCCATAACACGTTTATTGCTTGAAGATTATTTAGTGAAATTAAGTGAAATAGAGCACATTCAACTACTCATGCTGTTCATCTCTTGTCATGTGTTTTGTTTATAAAAGTGAAATGGCTTCATTTGTAATCATTTGAGCAATGTCAGACATTGTTGGATTGTTTTTTTGCCTTTTTGTCAATTTGGTTATTTTGATTATGCGTGTAATTTGTTTGTCTTTAAATTCTACAACTTTTCGACTAAGTAGCTAACTTCTTATTATGTTATGTTAATTTGAGTAGGATGGGTTGCAGCACACTTCTTGCTGGTGCCACTGCTGGTTCATTTACTGGGGGAGAACTGGCAGACAAGTTTGGCAGGACAAGGACTTTTCAATTAGATGCTATCCCTCTTATTATTGGAGTGGTTCGTACTTTGTATTGTTTCATTAACTATTAGCTTGTTTACTGTCATAGAAAACTAATTCTTCAAAAGGCCTTAAATGTTTTCAGTGCTACGGCCCAGACTGTCCAGACTATGATGATTGGCTGTTTACTGGCCAGTGTTGGTATTGGTAATCATCTTCTATTGTTCTGCTTTACATATCTGAGGTATTTTTCATCTTTATTATTTGCTTTAGTTGTCTAGTTTTTTGGGAAACATCTGCTGACATTCTTTCTATTTGTCAGATCTCACCAACTGAAATCCGTGGTGCCCTTGGATCTATAAACCAACTTTTTATATGCGTTGGGATTCTTGCAGCGTTGATGGCTGGATTACCTTTAGCTAGAAACCTGTTATGGTATATTACCCTAGAACTTTTTATACTTGTATCACATGATTCATTTGGTATGTTAAATTGTGTTTTTACTATTTGTCTGGAAACTACTGAGCATGCATTCAATCATGCATCTAATGAGTTTGGACCCTTCTAACTGTTGATGAGAATTTAGTTAGAAGTTTCTAAAATCTGGGTTCAATTTGGTAATAAAGCTAAAAATTTCTTTCTTTTTTTTTTCTTTGGTAGCTATATTTGGCAGTAAATCTTTCCCTTACTAGTCTCGAGACCATTCTTCCTCTCATTGGCCCCTTTTCAAGGAATAATAGGCTAATTTTATCCCTTTTCTGCATTGTTTTTTTCTTTTTTTTTTCTTCATTCATCTTGCTGGCAAAAGGGTGACAGGTAGACCAATAAGACATGGGTTAAAATGATAAAAATGACCTTTCCTTTACTAATCATATCGAGCAAATGTTTTTAGACAAAGCACAATGGTGTAATATAATTCGTGTAGTCAATCCCACACACTATGGTGTGGGATTAGGCTTCTTTGTTGTCCATTTGCTGTCATTATACCATATTCCTTGTAACTGTATTCCTTATGCACCTGAGCATTTGTCTCAATCATAGGTGCATGTACGTCCCTGCTCAAAGAATTGGGGGCAAATCCCTCCTTCCCCAAAAAAGTTGTACCAGATAAAAAAAAGAAGAAAAGGAAAAGCTCCATCTGACTAGTTCGAATGTTTAATTTTGTGGTATGCTTTCTAATCTATCTTTATTTTTTGGATCTTCTTCTGTGTTTGTGAGATTGAGTGAATAGGTCGGGAAAATGCCTCTTCATCACTGTACATATTAATGTTGTGCATGATGTGCCAAAATGTAATTGAGAATTGTATTTCTTGTGCAAATAAATTTTTGTGTCTACTTAAGCATTTACACTAACTAGTTCTGTCTTATTTATATTTTTTTCTAGTAGGTGGAGGACAATGTTTGGTATGGCTGCTGTCCCTTCTATTTTATTGGCGCTAGGAATGGCTTTTTCCCCAGAAAGTCCTCAGTGGCTGTTACGTTTATTATTGGACTACTCAGTCTCTTTATTTTGCATTTCTATTCATCTCACATCGATATATATATATATATATATATATATATATATAATATTGATTCCTTGTTGATTGAACACATCAATTTCGCAGCAAGGGAAAATTCCTGAAGCTGAAAAATCTGTAAGAACATTAAATGGAAAGGAAAGAGTTGCTGAGGTTATGTATGAGTTAAGAACTGCAGGTCAGGGTTCTACAGAACAAGAAACACGTTTTCTTTTTTCTAATTTGTTTTGAAAAAAATTGTTTTTTTGGTGAATTCTTTGAATTTAGAGAGAGGAGCAGTTTTAATATGGTCTTTTTGTGGTATGTATGTGTTGTGATAAATTTTGATGGTTTTGTTCATGTTTATTTTGCCCTTTAGTCTATTGCAGTTGAGTATGGAAAAGGTTTTGAGGCTTTTAGGCTAGACGGGCCTTTAATGGTTGATGTGGTAAGGAATTTAAGTGACTCTACATTCACTCGATTTGTGTGTCAGTGATTTCAATGAGTTTGGCCATCTTATTGGCTTACGAATTTCTTTTGGTTTGAATAGGATTACTTGAATGATAGATTACAAGAAGGTTTTCTTAAGCGAATTCGCTATACCATGAAACCAGATAAACCATATGGTCTAATTTTCTCTTAGGATAATGTGGTGGTAAAACAAGCAATTTTCATATATCTCAGAGTCATATGATGATGGATATATACTTTTAGTTGACCTTTTATGTATATTTACTTGTCTTTGTGATGTGGGATTAAATATAGTGAATTAAGTTTGTGATATAACAGTCCTAACCAAATAAAAATAAATGGCTATCATGCCAAACATGTTTTTAACTTTGTGTCTCTTTTAAATAAGGTACTTGGATTTAGTGTTATCAAGGGTGCTAGGTGCACTATAGGCTCTAGAACCCTTAGGTGCAATGTGCAAAAAAATTGCTTGCCCAAGTGAAGTAAGGTGCAATGAGGAAGAGAAGGAGCATAGAGATAAAGAAAGGATGGTCAAGCTCCGCACTCTAGGTAACATTCCACTAATTGGTAAGCTTCTGAAGCAAAAAGGGTATCTAAGAAAGTAGTCCATCATATCGTACAGGTTATTGCCAATACATCCTTTCTCATCCAGGGAACTTAAATTTATTGTACGTTATGCTAAATCATTTTTTGCCTATTTTGTCAAATAGGAACTTTTGGGCCCTAACACTAGAGCTTGCCTTGCAGAGGAGAATGTTGAAGCCATTTGTCAGTTCTTCAACACTATTGGTAAGCAACTTGATGAGAGTTCAAAATCACAGTGCATAAATGATATGTACTTCACCAGATTGAAGGAATTGATTACAAATCCTCAGCTTGTGCCAAGATTGAGATTTATGGTTCATGATGTTCTTGATTTGCATGCAAACAAATGGATTTCCCAGGCATGAGGAGGTAACTCATAAATGCCATCAAAATTTCTGTGTTAGATAGCTTCTTAGGTAACTTATTTTTTGGTGTTGTGTAGAAGGCAGCAATTGGATAGCTTCTTGTGGCTTAGAGAAAATGTGATGGTCTTTTTTTTGGGCAAAACTTAGTGTCCATACATTCTTGTGGCTTTGATGACTTTTACTATGGCAATAGCCAATACTCAAGTCTATCTCTGATAGAGATTAAAAGTGAGCCATCATACCAAGATTCATTAAAGACTTGCTCAAATCTTAGTTCTTCATTTGATGGTTCATGCAAAAAATGCCCCGATGCAATGCGAAATGCAGTGGATAACTAATCGGAACTGTTGCAAAGGAAAAAAATCATACTGAAAGAGCAATATGTGGATCGGCAGTTGTTATTTCAATTGCTGCTGCAAAAATTGATAATCACCCTTTCATCATTGATTTGTTCAGCTGTATGTCTTCTTCAAACGTTTTGGGTAAGAATTAGAGATTAGGTAGTATCACTTTTACCTCCTTTTCAATTATTTTGTTTTGTCCTATAATTGTACTATTTTGCCTAACAAATCGTAGCTACCTCAAAATGAAATGTAAGTTTAACCATTTTTCTACTTTTTACTGTTAAGTACAAATCGAGGTCTGTTAGGCTTTGACATAGCAGGAGCAACCTTTAAAGATAACTTTTCTTTATTTATTTATGCTAAGATGCATTTGTTTTTTACATGCTAACCGAATTGAAACGTATAACTTTTTTACTCTCTTTAGTCTTTTGAACTTCTAGTACTCACTGAAATAGTTCTGATGTTGGTGTTGCATTCCATGCTCCCTTGTGTGAGGAGGTAATTAATGAAAATTTGCTTTGCATTCCACGCTCTCTCTTGGCGCTAAGGTTGGTTTAGTTAATCTATTTGGTGCAACTAGATTTTTTTTTTTGTTTTATATAATTACTAATTATGCTGTTTTCATTGGGTATTTTCTTTGATTTTTCATGGAAGAATGATAAAAACTTGACAGTTCCAACTCCAACTAAGAGAGTTCAAGAGCTGGAATGGTTAAAGAAAGACTTGGAGAGGAGAAACTACGAGTTGCAGGCTTTGTAGAACTAGCAATTAACGATGTAAACTCTCTTAAATTTTTATTTTATATTAACTGTCGTAACTTTGGTCACAGCTTCATCTCACGTCTTGAATATTTTTGTTTAATGTTATCGTAAACTTTATCATAATTAGAATTAAACATGTCTTTAATTGTAAGATAATTTTTTATTTTTTAAAATTATATTTTAAATATAAAATGTAAAATTTTTATGTCAAATTTATACAAATTATTAATTAAACAAATATCAATTTAATAAAATACTAAAATTGATTATAATTATTGGGCGAAACCAGGTCTTCAGTTATAGTATATTATAAATTACATAACATACTAATTTTAATATAATATCTTAATGAATTTTTTTATTTTATCTCACTATACTTTTACCAAACAAGTAGCATCTCATGTTTAATTTTTAATTTTATAATACATTTATCAATCTCGTTATTATCGTTATCATTATTTTTAATTCTTGTTATGTTAAATAGATTTTACCCATTTTGAAAAAAAAAGAAAAGTGCATAATATCTCTAAAAGGTAAGTACATATACTATTTTCATAATTTTTCTCATTTTATTTTTTAATTTTAATGAAAATAAAGATGAAAAATCATCATTTCTTTTATTTTTTTATAAACATAATAATTACTTTTTTTCCTTTTTTACTCAGCTGTTTCACTTAATAATATTTATTTTTTAGAGAATTTTTCAAATGCAACTATTAGTCAAAAAAATCATCATAAACTTTATGGACAAATTTTCACATTAAGTCATGTATATTTATAGTTGTGCTTCTAATTATAATATATATTTTTACATATTTGTCTCAATTGGAAGAATCTTTAAAAGACGGGATCTTGAATTGGTACACATATAAGATGAGATTTTAAATTTTAAGTTAATTTATAATTTAGATGTTAAAAACTTATTTTAGCTTAAAATTAAAAAATAATATTTTGATCGTAAAAGAGTAAAAAAAAGTTTTCAAATAAAAATTTAATAATGATTTAAGTTTTTGATATTTTATTATTTCCAATTAAGCATTAAATTTTTTACTTTGTATTAGTTAAATCATTAAATATTTATTTTTATTTAATTAAACTTCTATATATTTATTTTATTTAATTAAGTATTTCATTGTAAAAAATGAAAATAGATTTTTAAAAATATAATTAATTAAGAAAATAATAAAACTTAAATAATTATTAAATTTTAATTCAAAAAATTTGTTTATTCTTTTATCTAATTCACGTTGAATAAAGAAAAATAAGAATTGTTCCATGAGACGTTGATGAAATGGATTTCGTGTGTGTTCGCGCCAATACCAACACGACAATAAATCTAATTCAAAATAATCCCACATAATCATAAGCTTATCTAAATATAAATATTCTCAACGTCATTTGCTTTTTTTATTAATTTTGTTTTAAAAAAAAAATCTACACCTTCGATTCTTTGAATCTTCATAAATTGATTAGTAGTATTTTTTAAAATTTAAAATTTTCTAATTAATTAGTTTCAATTTTCTGAAAAATAAAAAACAAATGAAAGAGAAAGAGAATAATGGATTAAATTCTCCATCAAATTTGTTCTTCTTGGTAAGTTCTTAGTAAGCAAACAGTTACTTTTTCTTTCTCTCAACGGATTTTCCGAAGCTTTCTATCAAAATAATACTACAAAATAAAATCTCACATCCAAACAGATCCCAGAAACTGGATCATCCTTTCTCTCTCTCCACTCCGCCTTTGAATTCGAAATCTCACTCTCACTTCTCAGTCATTCTGCTTCTTGAATACGGTTCTGTTTTGATCTTTATTTCTAGATTTAATGTTCTTCTTCTTTTTTTTTTGACTGTTTTGATTTGTCGGTTAAATATACTTTTTTTTGGTGAGTCAGGTAATGCAGGCGTCAACACATTTAATCAAAGGAAATTTAGACTTTGAGCTTTCAAAATGAAGAGTTTCGCCTTGTTTTGGTAAAGTTACGGAACGGAATTTAACTTTGAATCGTAATCTTAGCTTCCGAAGTGGTTCCATTTGCAGCGGTTTAAACTCCGGTGCCGTTTCAATGGGAGCTGAGCTCGCACGTTCCAGAAATGGCATTGAAACTGCCGTTCGCCTTTCGGTCAAATCTCGATCGAAAAAGCCCAGCCTTTTGGTCTCTCTCTTTCTCTCTCTCGCTCTTTTTTTTCTAAAAAAAAAATTTTAATATGCGTTTCGGTTAAACTTTTGTAGTGCATTAATGTTAGACTTTTAAAGTGAGAAAAATTTCTTGATGAACGCATTGCATGTTTGATGAGATCGGTTTTTCTCTGGCTAATGATATTCATGCCTGATTGTGAGAGTAATAGATAATTTTGTTATTTGTTTAGATTTGTTATTTTCTGTTGTTTTGGGCTAGTGTTAGGCCAAGCTCAGTAGCTGGGATAATCCATATGGATATTTCCATATAATGCAACTATCTGTAACAAATAGGATGAACGTGAGGTATTGGGCACTCACGAAATGGAAGCAAATTCTGTTTTACTCTCTCCTCTTCTCTATTCTCTACTTTTTCTTTTCTATTAATTCTTCCTTTCTATTTCCCATCTTAAAGGACAAAACATTGCTCTTGTTAATCATCTGCATTTGTTTTAGTTATTGGACAGATATTTCAAATTCTTTTATGTATAAAAAAACTTTAGAGGCATTGCGTCCTGGGAATTGTAGGGAGCATCTTGTAAAGAAATGAGTCATTTTGGTTTTGTTTGGTTGTGTATTTCAATACTTTCCTTTTTGCTTCTTGAAAAATCAATGGAAAGTAAAAGTAAATAATAAAAAGTAACATCTTGTATTTGATTAAACCTGAAATGTGACACATTCAAAAGTTGTTATTCCCTATAAAAGTAAATTCATGCATTTTGGTGTTTAAAAGGTCAAATGTTTTACTTTTAATTATATAGGAATATAACTTGATTTTGTTTCCAAGCATGCTTTTTGCTTCTAGTGCAAGACACAAGTCGCAAAAACAATAACTAAATTCTACTGATATATTCTATAGCACTATGGTGATGGTTTAGGGTATAACTAGTTACATACTTTATTCTTGCAGATGTGTTTAACTGATTTTTTTATTGTGTTAGTTTAATTCGGACGTAACATTCTTTCCACTAAAATCTATTAACTTGCATGGTTGTGTTGGTAATGCTGGATGTATGCTTGTCAGATTCTTTCTAACCTGCTTTTCTATATTGTTTTCAAATGGCAACTGGAATTATTCTGCAGGTGGAGACATTGAGGATTTGAAACTGATCAACCCTCAGGGGAAATCATCTGGGATGGTTCTGCCATTTGTCGGTGTTGCTTGCTTGGGAGCTATATTATTTGGTTACCCATCTAGGGTATATACCAATTCAACTCAGAAGGAACGTGCTCTTGTTTCTTGGTTCTAAACTTGTTAATTAATGATTTTAGAATCTCTATTATACCTTAGCCAATTAGAGCTGTAGAAACAGATAAGTATACTCTCCAGCAATACCAAAGCATCAGAGAGAATCAATATGGTTCATTTATGTGTCCCAAAAAAATACGATGCCTGCAACAAGGGATGTGGGTGAATGTTTCCAGTATTTTCGAAATGGTCAAATGCTGGATAAGATTCCCTCCATTGGTTATATTCTAGATAAAAAAAATAATTTTTGTAGAAATTTATGCAGAAAATCCATAATCAATATCTTGGCGGTTGGCATGCTACATTTTTTTTTTATCATATGGCTTATTTGTTTGTTGCTTTGTGCTTGGCTTTGATAATGCTACACTCTTCTAATTCCCCCCACCCTCCTTTTCTTTCTCTTTCTTCAGTTTGGTAAATGGTGCTCTTGAATATCTATCTAAGGATCTGGGGATTGCTAAAAATACTGTCATGCAAGGCTTGTGTTGTGATCTTTAATTACTATGAAAATTCAGCCTCTTAATTTGTTTCTTTTTCTTTTCCTTTCCTCTTCCTTTGATTTGTTGTTTGTCTCTAAAATCTTCTACATGTGTATTTTGGTCTCTGATAAACCAAATTCCCATAACACGTTTATTGCTTGAAGATTATTTAGTGAAATTAAGTGAAATAGAGCACATCCAACTCCCCATGCTGTTCATCTCTCGTTATGTGTTTTGTTTATAAAAGTGAAATGGCTTCACTTGTAATCATTCGAGCAATGTCAGACATTGTTGGATTATTTTTTTGCCTTTTTTTTCAATTTGGTTATTTTGATTATGCATGTAATTTGTTAGTCTTTAAATTGTACAACTTTTCAACTAACTAGCTAACTTCTTATTATGTTATGTTAATTTGAGTAGGACAGGTTGTCAGCACACTCCTTGCTGGTGCCACTGCTGGTTCATTTACTAGGGGAGAACTGGCAAACAAGTTTGGCAAGACAAGGACTTTTCAATTAGATGCTATCCCTCTTATTATTGGAGTGGTTCTTACTTTGTATTGTTTCATTAACTATTAGCTTATCTACTGTCATAGAAAGCTAATTCTTCAAAAGGCCTTAAATGTTTTCAGTGCTATGGCCCAGACTGTCCAGACTATGATAATTGGCTGTTTACTGGCCAGTGTTGGTATTGGTAATCATCTTCTATTGTTCTGCTTTACATATCTGAGGTATTTTTCATCTTTATTATTTGCTTTAGTTGTCTAGTTTTTTGGAAACATCTGCTGATATTCTTTCTATTTGTCAGATCTCACCAACTGAAATCCGTGGTGCCCTTGTTTCTATAAACCAACTTTTTATATGCATTGGCATTCATGCAGCGTTGGTGGCTGGATTACCTTAGTGGGAAACCTGCTATGGTATGTTATCCTAGAACTTTTTATACTTATGCCACATGATTCATTTGGTATGTTAAATTGTGTTTTTACTATTTGTCTGGAAACTACTGAGCATGCATTCAATCATGCATCTAAGGAGTTTGGACCCTTCTAACTGTTGATGAGAATTGTAGTTAGAAGTTTCTAAATTTTGGGTTCA